GAGAAGGGGTTGGGGGTAGAGAGAGACAGAGAGAGACAGAAAGAAAGAGAGGGGGAGAGGAGGATAGCTTGAGAGAGAAAAAGACAGACAGACAGACGCCAGGCGGACGGGCGGACGGGCGGACGGGCGGACGGACAGGCGTGCACGCAGGCAGACAGACAGATAGATAGATAGGTAGATAGATAGATAGATAGATAGATAGATAGATAGATAGATAGATAGATAGATAGATAGATAGATAGATAGATAGATAGATAGATAGATAAGTCCCTTTTTCTAAATTCTGTTTGTCAATGTTTTCCAGAGCCCTTTCCGGAAAGCGAAGCGTGCTGTAGAAAGAATGACTCTTCCGTTCTTTTCTAAGACCCTTCTTATTTCTTCTTGGGACCGCTCCCAGTTAGAAACAATGCTTTCCCAGTCTGGATTCTGGGAAAAAAAGAAAAAGAATACATGTACTTCAGAACACGTCTGTATCTACCGTTCAGTTTTCACAAGAAACTGAAATATTTACCAACTGTGTTGTCAGCCCACAAGAAGAATCTAACGACCTTAGTGATGGTTTGTACCAGCTTGAAAAAAGCAGATAAAAACCACAGGGGGGAGAAAAGAAATTGGACCTACCAGAGGCGCCTTCCAACCACTGGAGACTCAAATGAGAGGTTCATTAAAGTCTGCTGTTTTCTTGCTGAACCTCCAGGTCCGGATGAAGGCTTCCCGTACGCTTCCAATCGCGATTGTTCAAATGTTACTGACTGTTTTGGCTGTTGGGGAGTGTTAATGACAAAATGTTCAAATGTCACTGATTCTTTGGCAGACAAGAAGTGAATACCACTATGACGTGTATGGACGAAAAAATGTCGTCCCTGGACAATTCCACAGCATTCCATTCGGTGCCAGTTCCGCAGAATCCGACTCAAATAAATGCCGCATTGGGAAGGGAGAATGACTGCTCACAAGCTTCTCTTAATGTGTCAGTTAGCCCAGGCATTCCTTCTGTATGTTCTGAAGCTACTACAACAACTAACCTTAAGACCGCTACTTCGTCCCAGGGAAGGAAAGGAGAATTTCTTGACGGCTTTGACTTACTACAACAATCAGGTGTTGTCACACGGCACGAAGATGGTGAGGACGCTTCCAGTGACGCTTCACCCCCCAAGGATGAGCGCCACGAAGCAGAGACAGCTGAATGCAAGCAGAAGGCATGCCTTACAGACGGGCGTAACTGCAAGTCCTTGTACTTGACCACTCTTGCGCGGGGAGTGCCAGGTGAGAGTTGTTGTTGTTGTTGTTGTTGTTGTTGTTGTTGTTGTTAGTGGGTAGTAGTAGTAGTAGTAGTAGTAGTAGTAGTAGTAGTAGTAGTAGTAGTAGTAGTAGTAGTAGTAGTAGTAGTAGTAGTAGTAGCATTGTTGTTGCTGGTGTTGTCGTTGTAGTTGTTGTTGTTGTTGCTGATGTTATTATGATGATTAATATTATGATGATGATTATGATTGATTATTATTATGACAACATTATTATTATTACTATTATTATTACTGGTAGTAGTAGTAGTTGTTGTTGTTATTATTATTATTATCGAAATATGTACGGTCATCGAAGTTAATGTTCAAAGATTTTGTTTAATCTCATTAAGAATTTCAGGACAACACCAATAAGTCACCGGCGTCTGTCGTGTAGCAATTATGTGCTTTCATATCGCACACAGAAGACCCGAGTTTGATTGCCGAGTGGGTAAATTTCTTTATCGAGTATTCCGTTTTTCTGCTGAGATACTGTATCCCACTCAGCACAGGTTGTCCCTGACTGACAGGGTCAGAAACGCGTTTCTAATTTAGCTAAAGTGTGTCAATCAGAGCGTCAAAACACCTTCGTTAAGAAAACCCAAATAGGTCGATCGTAAGTTCCGAGGATTACAGGTGCTAAAAGAGAGTAACATATAACGATTTGAAAGGTGGGGGGGGGGGACACGTGTACTGAGTATGCACGTTAGATAGAAAAGGATTAGAGGACCACACGAGAGTTCCCATCAACCACATACATGTACACTGTTCAAAGAAAGATGGCCGGGCCAGTTTGTGATTGAGCCAAATCCGATATTCACTAACAATTGCTACCTCAAAATCACAAAGTTCTATCTGGCATTTTAGATCGTTTTGAGTAACTAAGACCATGAGGTCAGAAACCAAATATTCTATCTGTTCTATCAAATTCGTAAGATTCTCCAGAGTCATTACCAAGATATTCAAATAATGGCATTCGAAAAAGCTAGACATGATGTGTAATCTTCGAAGCCAAATTTTTCAAAACTAGGTACTGTGATGATGTAACTTTGTAATTTTGAGGTAGCGAAATAAAGGCTCTGCAGTTTTAATAATGCTTCATTGATTAGACAACTAAAATTATACCAAATAATGCGGTGTCAAATTTCTCTGGTCTCAGGCTACCACGAGGCGGAGATGAGTTTCCGAGGGGAGGCAGACCTTCAGAGACATTTCATCGACTGTGACAAGCACCCAGGGCACGAGATGTTCACCCCAGTCTCCACCTTCAGCGTCCGCGATTTACCAGAGGGGTATCAAGACCCGGATATTGTGGCCTACATACGAGCCCAGGCGGATCTGACAGTCCGAGTGGTCAGTCGATACACCAGCTCGGATAGACCGGACAACTACGCGTTCAGCGGTATCAAAGGAGAGACGTTTTTGAGGACTGGAACCGGGTTCATTCAGTACGTGTACAAATGTGAGGGCCGGACGGATAAACCGTGTCCTTGCCCAGAGTGCAAGAATTCGGACGCTCCTCGAGCTCAGTGGGCCAAGGTGAAAATACGTACAGCCACCCATGTCGTTTTTGATGACACGGAAGCGAAACATTCTGTAGCGGAGTTGTTTTATGACAATCACGAGGACTTGAAGAACGGGAAAATAAAAACTGTGTTCGGAGACAATGTTTGTTTCGGGGCGATACGGGGTGATTGGTGCGACATGCGCTGTGTTACTCACGACCTTGACCTGTGCGACTACATCAAGGACGCCTGGGGTCGCTGGAGGTGGCTGGAGTCAAAGGTCAATGAGAAGTTCAGAGGCGACGAGCATCGGCTGTCAGTGGTGGTGTCCCACCCACATGGCTGCAACAAGCAGGTCAGCGTGGGCCGCTGGGCGGATCGTGTGGTGGTGGGCGGGTCCAAAGGCTGGGAGAGTAGCGTATACTCCTATGACACGCCCACATGTCCCGGAAGTAGTGGCGCCCCTGTGTGGCTGCTGGGGAAAGTCAAGTGGGGAGGATTCTTCGGGAGACACCCTCACAGTGGCCGCCCTTTGGAAGGTTTGAACCTCAGCGCTACGGGATTGGACAGAACCTCGTGATCATTTTCATCAAAACTATCTCAATACCACTGGGTTGGGAAAAAATCTAAAAATGTATTTTATTATTATTACTAAAACTAACGCCAATGCTATTTGGTTGGATAAAATCTCAAACTTAATTATTACTATCATCAACACCAACAGCAATGCTAATTATTAATTTGGATTAACTCCTCTAATCTCTTGAATCGATACTAAACCCAGTGCTACTCGTGGACTGGACGGACTCTGTGGTCACGTTGATCAAAACTAACCTCAATGTTACTGGATTGGATAGAATGTCGTGAATAATATTACTATTATCAAAATTTCACACTCAATGCTGCTGGATGGATAAAATCTCGTGATTAATATTACATGTACTATTGTCAAAGCTTCACTCAATGCTACTGGATTGGATAAAATCTCGTTACCACTTTATAGAAAACTAACCTTGTTGCTATTGGGTGGGATAAAATCGCCTAGGATAAAATCACGTGATATAATAAACCTCAGTGCAAGTGAGTGGGATAAAATCTCGTGATCACTTTATTCAAAACTAATCACAGTGCTGCTGGGAAGGACAAATAATACAGACAGCGAGCACCAGTTTCGTTAGTTTAAGTTTTAATAAGGGTTAAATGGCACTTTCTACACAAATGCTGTTGCAGGTTGCCAAAATCCTTTTTTTTTTAAATTCACAGCAGTTTCGAGATAAAGAATTTTTTAATTTTTTTTTGGTCTGCATATTCATCTTTGAAAAGTGTTTTTCGGAATTTGAATTCTAATCTATCTTCTTTTTAAAAACTAGTCACAGTTTCACTTTGATGTTTTTTTCACACAAGTAGAGTAACTGATCATACTTTCTTTTTTTTTAAATTGGCACCAGAAATGAAAAGATGGCGTGTTATCAGCTTACGGAAGAGTAAGTCATATAAGTGCTAAAGGTTAGAGATGTTACTCTGTAGTAACGTTCCAAGAAAAGAAGGAGAGATAATGACGATAGACATATTAGGCCTATGTTAATTTGATAGGAAAGAAGGGGAAAAGCACACCAGAGTATCCACCAACCACCCGCCACCAGTGTCTATTCAAATTTAATACGAAACATTTATTGTAATTACCGACCTCTAAGTCATGTAGTAAAACCTCTTGGAACGGCTGGTATCTTGCTGGTCTTGAATGTTTGGGACCCTTTTAATTCTTTTCGTGCCAATCCACAATATAACGTACATAGCTATCGTAAGTCTCCAGTGCAAAACTTATCCTTTTTTCGATGAATAGATCCATTCAATGTATTTTGTTCAGACACCATTTTCTAGTATTTAATTATTTTGTCTCTCTTTTGATGTACAACATATATATTTGTGTGTGTGTGTGTGTGTGTGTGTGTGTGTGTGTGTGTGTGTGTGTGTGTATGGAGAAAAGCTATTTCTGAGCAACGGGGGGGGGGGGGGGCTAATAAAAAGTCGTGCATTGTCAAAAATTTAGTTCCATCAGAAAACACACGTTTTCAATAACGTATTGAATGGGTTTTATGATAGTATAAATATTCTTATATTTATAATTATTGTTGCAAGAAGAAGAAGAAGAAGAAGAAGAAGAAGAAGAAGAAGAAGAAGAAGAAGAAGAAGAAGAAGAAGAAGAAAAAGAAGAATGAGGAGGAGGAGGAGGAGGAGGAGGAGGAGGAGGAGGAGAAGGAGGAGGAGGAGGAGGAGGAGGAGCAGGGAATAAAAAAAGGGGTTGAGACTTTGTAGATTTTTCAAATTTAATACAGGTTCAACGTTTCGCCCTGTAAAGGGCTTGATCAGGAACATGAAACAAAAAAATAATGTAAGATCTAGATTCTAATGACTACAAGCTATAGCAACATAGATAATGATAATAATAATAATAGACTATAGCTCATATCTACGCTCCATGGCGTTTTACAATGACAACGTCATCTTATTACCTCAGCAGGCCATAGAACACAACACCGAAACATTCTCTGCGGGAAGGCATACAGAACAAGCTGAGGATTACTCGCGCTGAGACACTAGATCTATTAAACTAACACAACTTATTGAATTATATATTTATTATAATTATGTGTTTTCTCTTTAATTTTTTTTTTGCAGGTTCTTCTCTTGTACCTGTTTGTATTAACACAATATACTTACCTGTGCTTATCTAAATGTATTACAATGATTTACTGTGCAGTTTATATAGAAACAGTATATTCAGACTATCAATTTTGTCGGTCTTTCTCATTTCCTGAGCCTTTTTTTCCGGAGTGGCTACTCGCCCGATGTCAGGTGACTAGCATCAGGCTACTCGCCCGATCTAGGATTTCTGCACTTGTTCCATGTTTTGGCCCGTGGGGATTTCTGCGCATGCTCCTTTAAAATTCGCGTGATCAATCGGGCAAGATTCAGTCACTCACTCGGTCACTCCTTGTCCTCCAAGTCAAGAGTCGAATCGGTTCTAACATGAAAGTTTGACTCTGACTGCAATTATAATTATTTGACCAAACTGAATTTATTATAATACATGTCATGTATGAAGATGGGACTGGCCATAATGTGTACTAAAATGGCTGTACTTTCAATGATTTAATTTTCTCATACGGTAGCTCTAAATTTGCTTGAATGGTATCAGGCTTTATTATAATATTATAGCTGCCTTCAATTCCAGATTAAGAGCAGCAAATTCCACGCTTCCTTCTAGTACTTATCAGTACGTCATGTAATTTTTTTAAAAACCATTATTGTATCATCTGTGACAGCCTTAATTGATTTCCTATTTGTTGACAGTACACTTATTGATGAGCCTTTTTGTACCATGTCTCCACTTTCCTTTTTCTCCGGGGCATACTATTTACGCATATGTTTAAATTCGTTCATTACTATATTAATTAAGTGTCGATATGTTTGTGATCATTCTTTCTTCATAGCTTGGGTTTTCTTTTTGTGTCGATATGCTTCTCTTTACTCAAACAAACAAGCAAACAAAATGCCTTGGGTTTTAAGGGGTACCTATTTTGGTTCATGTTGCTGATATTATGAGAATGAGAGTGTTTGTCCTATATAAAGCAAAGTTGTTCCCGCATCCGATCCGGACATTGAGGATTGCCTTGTTAGAGAGACAACTTCCTGGGCCTTTGGCATATTGTGGTAGGGTGGCCAGTTCCTTTCCACGCCGCCTTTACTTCCCCAACTCGAAGCCAGGTACCCATTACTGCTGGGTGGGCTGGAGAGGGCGAAAAAAATCCGTGTCCGAACGAGGCTCGAACCCGGACTTTCCGCTTCGGAGATGAGCGCACTAACCGCTCTGTCACCACGCCCTCTTGTCCTACAGTGCAATAAATATGTGAGCATGTTATAATATTCCAATATAAAGAGATTAAGAAAGAGAAAGATAGAAAGAAAGGGAGTGTGCATGCTTTGGGAAGAGTGGGGGAGGGGGGGTCACGAAGTTGCTATTTATTTACCTTATCAGACATGACAAATTATTAAAAGAAAGAATTTAACTTTTTCCCCACGTTCCGAATGCTCACTCACGTATACGGTTGCAGTCGGACATCGACGATATGTAGGCCTATGGTTAATCACTTTTAGTTCTGTTGTTCTTATTGTAAAGCACTAAAGCCACACTGCAAGGGGTATTAGATCTTTTGTGTAAACGAGCATTAGTATTATTAGACTCTATTGTTGTTGTTGTTGTTGTTATTATCATTATTATTATCGGTATTGTTGATAGTATTATTACTATTATTATTATTATTATTATTGTTATTATTATTATTATTATTATTATTATTATTACTATTATCTTTATTACTATCATTATTATCATTATCATTACTACTACTACTACTACTACTACTACTACTACTACTAATACTACTACTACTACTACTACTACTACTACTACTACTACTACTACTACTACTACTACTACTACTACTACTACTATTATTATTATTATTATTATTATTATTATTATTATTATTATTATCATCAATATTATCGTCATTATAACTTTTATTTTATAAGTGTAGGATTTTATTTGCTATCATAAAGTGTGTGTATCTATTCATCCTATGTTCTTTTATTTTATTAATATTACTATTTTCTTGAGACTGCTCGACCCCGTATATTATGTCTTCATCTCTTGCTTTAGAAACAGAAACGTACTTTTTAAATCAATTGTACCGGTACATGTACACATTGTCATTTTCTCCATGTAAAAAGATAAGTCACCGAAGGGACGTAAACACAGCATTAACTCTTCTTCTAACAACAACATGGCTACTTCCCTTCAGTATTTTAATACAGTAATAAACACACACACACACACACACACACACACACACACACACACACACACACACACACACACACACACGCACACACACACACACACATATACACACATACACACATTCACACTCATACACACACACACACACACACACACACACACACACACACACACACACACACACACACACACATAATTTATATTTTATTAAGTTTGATAAGAATTTTACTGCACTCGCAACAGCATAAGGTCACAGGGGCGCGCGAAGTGTTTTATTTAACTGAAATAGAAATTTCGATATTTATTATAATACATTTATTTCTTGTAGCAAATCATCCAATATATATTGTCATAACATAATAAAGGAGCCCATGTGCTTGCAAGCAGAGACACAATATGTGCTTTTTAAGGTCCTGTCTGTTCAGGATTTGTTGAAAGTTATCTATACTTGAATTATTAGACCATCCTTTGTGGTGTAGCAGTTACAGGCTCTTCTCTGTCGCACACAGGAGACCTGAGTTCGATTCCCGAGTGGGGAGAATACATTTTATCGAGTATCTTTGTCTTTCTGCTGGGATGTGTCCCTCTTAGTCCGGATTGACCCTGACAGGCAGGGTCGGAAGCCCGCTAAATTGTGTGGAACATCTACATTTAGTTGTTGTTGTTGTTGCTTTTTTAAAAAATTTAATTCTGATTCGTTTAGATAGGTACCTTAAGGGTATAGATTTGCGTGTGTGGAGCAGAAAGTAATCGGACTTGGCATCTATCGGTGAAAATATTGATCAGTCATATGAGCAGTGCACTAAACTGACATGTTTACCCACGGACCAACAACCATGGATAGAGTTTCATGTGACATCATTCTTGATTATCTTAATATATTTCGCAAACAGAGTATGGTTCGGGATTTGGAAGAAAAGATAGAATTTACGAAAGAAAATGAAAACATCCATTTCTACGTCTTTATGCGCTGTAAAATTGGCCAACTGCCGAGACTGATTCATGAACATGTGCTTAGCGTTTGTCGAGAATCTGTCTTTTTGCACAACACAGTTTGTCGTTGGGCAAGATCATTAACAAGTGAAGGGAGAGGCACTCTTTTGATCACCCATTTTCTGGCTGCACAAACTCCTCTGTGAGCGAGAAAACGGCCCCATGTTGTACACGGCTTCCATACCTTTGTATGGGCGCTAAGTGACGGATCTGGAATTTTGTTTGGGTAGGAGCAGAGCATGGTGCCGTGGTGAAACTAGGCGCTCTTCAAAATAATGAAGTCGAAAAAACCAACGTTTTTCTCCCCAGCGGGCATTTTAAAAAATTTAACTGTGTTTGTCTGTTTTTGACTAAACACCTTTTATATATTCTGCAAATCATTTTCCACCATGGATATTTCTCAAAAACGTTTGTCAAAGACACTCAAAAAAAATATAAATTCCCATGGCTTTGGAAGTCAAAAAACTTTGGCAACAATTTTCTTGCCCCTGGTATCAGTGGAAACCGCACCTCCTTCAGTTGCAAATGTCTCGACTTCTATTCAAGATAGATGGGGGGGGGGGGGGGGTTGCTTCAAAAGGTCTACGTTCTCTCACGTTCAGTGCTTCCAATTTTCCGCATTTTTTAAAAAGTTTCCTCCAGACCTCATCTGCCGATCCAATGCCCGCCGCCTCATTGATATCCCCCTCCTCCCCCCCCCCCCTCCCCCCATCTCCAGGTTTCCGACGTTCTCACTTTCTGTGTTGTAGAAGTAGAAAACTAGAGGTCAACATCTTGATCTATGTTGTTGCCTTTCCTGAAACAGAGCTGTATATATATTAAGCTTAATCTACCTCTAGTCGTTGGAGGTTCTGATAGCCGAATGGTCAGCGTGTCTGCGCTTGAAGTGTATGAGTGTGGGTTGGAATCCCTGTCCCGAAGGTTTTGTTGGGGGTTTTTTTGTTTTTCTTCTTCTTTTCCTCCTTCCGACTGACCAACAATTTTCCCCATAATTATAATTTGTTGCTTTGTAATTTCTTATGTAGTGATGAAGCATGCAAATTCTGGTTTTTTCCCGAAGAGGAGCTTTTATTTACATTTGTGCTAAGTATAGGCCTACTTTTCCTTTTACCAATTTATGCCTGGTTAAAGTACATTTTCAACAGTGGCTTTCCTTGGTCTGTGAGTCTAATTTTTAAAATTTATTTTAGAATCAGAGAGGCCAATCAATTCTTAGCTCTTCAATTGCAAATTTACTTTATCCAGGGCCCTCCTGCGGCCCCCAGACCCCAGCCAATTGTTCCTCCTGTCAATTACTATTCATCCTGGTTGGGGGTCCGCGGACAAATTGTTGGCCAGTAAGTAGAAGGAGAGGGGGA